ATTATAATAACTTATTTATTAAACCGATATAAAGATAAATTTAGGTCAGTCTTTCGATGTCGCATGCTTTTTTTATTCAGTTTTTAACATTTAAAATGAATAAATCATACATGCTGATATTTTTTTCAAAGTTCATATTAAGAAAGTAAGGTATTACAAACAAAATTAAACTTTAAAATTTTATCAATCAAAATAATCTACGTTTTATATGGTAAATTATTTCCCCTTATGATTATTATTATACTAGAAGATAACCAAATATTGTGAATCAGAGTAAGTATAATTATCAGTAGCATCATGCTAATTAGTATAAGTGTTATCTTTGGCATTACTATCACTATTATATTATAAGCTGTTTTTTTTTTACCAATGTGAAAAATTAAGTTCAACCTTTTTATATTCAAAGAACCTTATTGTCATTGTTTGCAGCAAAAAATTCATCAATTCAGGTGTTACAGTTACATATGTGTGTATTGTGCCACAAGCAATGGGATATTTTAGTAAATTTTAAAGGCAGTTTATAAAATTTGCCAGAAATCAGAAATTCAAGGTAAATTTAGCTGAATACAGTTTAAGGGATAATACAATACAATACGGTATACTCATTTCTAACTCCCTTTAAACAACTAGAATGACTATTAAATATTTAAGATAGCCTCAAAATCCATGGAGATATGAGCTGTGAAAGTTAAAAATTATTTTTTTAAAAAATTCCAATCTTCTTTATTTCTATTGATAGAACTCATATAAAACAATAGTATAAAAATATTAAACTATGAATCATGTAATTTTGATTAAATCATTTCACTTTAAGAAAGTACTATATTTATAGATTGTATAATAATTGCAAAAGTAGTATTACATATTTTCTCGAGTCTAAAAATGCAATATACTTTGTATTTGTTACTTTCTTTTAGGATCTTTTGCAGTTTAGATGACAACTATTCTAATCAATTGATTAATAATAATACAGTACATTTTATTATTGCCTTCTTTTAATACAAAATCTGTATGGTCTGATATTAACGCCTTTTTTGGAAATCCAATACTCACCATTATCAACAGGAAATCTTTTTAAAGTAGCAGGATTTACTCTGTTCTGTAATACAACCACATAGGTATTTTCTTCATACTCAAACTGCATAGCATATTGTTTAGCTATATGTATGTCAGGCGTTGAATAAATACCTTTTCCATAAACAAACTGTTTTCCTTTGCTCAGATCATAACCTTCTTTAGCAATTGATTTTGCATTACATTCAGCAGTGCCATGATACGATACTGGCTAGGCATTTTTATCAGTATCAAGCCATTTATTATCACCATTATCATACTTTCCAGTAACCTTTAAAGCGTAGCATTTCTTATAATGTATACCGCTCCGCATAAATGTTTTTCCTAGATTATTAATATTTGTAAAATCGTAGTTATATGGCAGGTCCAATTCATCATCATTAATATAACCTATCGGAGTATGCTCTCCTTCACGTAAATTAAGACTCAAGTACAATGTAAATCCAATGTCATCACCACAATAGTCAGAGAGCTTATGTTCATTTTTTAATTGATTCCCCAAATCCATTAATATCTGTTTATTTGGTGGAATGTCTTTCTTAAGTTAAATTAACAGCTTAATAGAGTAAATTGTAATATTTTCATTACATTTGAATGATATATTTCTACTATAGAGTGTTCGAACAAAAAATTGTATTTGGTCAGATATGTGCTGACACTTTAAACGATGCTGATGATTTAAATAATGCTGATGATTTAAACGATTCTGACGATTAAAATTAGTGCCCAAGTTGTCAAAAAATATTTTTTTACTCATTATTGCAATCATTAAAATGATCATAACAAAGATTATAATACCCAAAAAATAATATTCAACTGGATTATATAAATAATATGGACAGTAATCCAACAAGTTATATTTAAAAACAATGCCTGGATGGTGGTTTATAATTTCATAAACAAGCAAATTTAAACCATTGTTTGTATAGTAGTTTATAATTATATAAGCAAGCGAACTTAAACCCAAAATGCAGAGTAATCCGAGAATATACTTTGAAATTAAAAAATAACCAAATGAATTAGGGTTATTACTAACATTATTTAGTTTACTGCCAACAAGGTTAATCTGATGAAATGATTTTATGTCAATTTTTTGATAAAATGAACCAGCAGCGTTAATTTCACTACAGACTTGTCTATTCTGAAATTCTTTCTCAGATATAAACTTGTAGATTTCTCCTATTAAGGCCGTAAAAGCCATATTAAGAAGGTCTATATCATGTGAGTTTTTCATAGTGTAACAGTTGTATTTGGGAGCTAAGCAATTATAGACAAATAGTGCCAATTTGAACTCCAACCGATTACGGGATTGGGGTTTATATAAATAAAATGAAAGGTGAATCTATCTTAAAATAACCAATTCTGGAATGAATGTAAACTTAATATGTTTAAAATAATAGTAATAACTAAAAATTTATATATAAAACAAAGAATCTATAAATTAAAATAATTCAGAAATGATATCACAGAGAAGTAATACTTCTCAGAGCGGGTTAAGCGGTATAATTGATTGATGATGATGTTAAATGATAGAATTTTAAAAGAATTAATCTAAAGGTCGAGAATGAATATATATTTGTTGTCCAGGAATGATATTAACGGAAATTGATATCTAAAGTGATTTATGATGCAAAGTTGATTTATGGATGCCTTAAAAGATAAATTATATTTTATTTTAGCTATTTATAAAATCAGC